GCTGTTGAGTGAAGCACTGGAAGCATCTTCAAGCATGACCAAGGGATGTGAGGGAGGAGTGTGACCATGCTCAGGGCAGAGCATCCTCAGACAGACAGAAAGCTTTTGCTCCAATCGCCATCCAAGCCTATTCTGGTTTTCATTTGGAAAAAGGGCCTTGCTAAGTAGCTTCATTGCCCAGGCTGGACTTGAACAACAGATCCTTCTGCCTCAGCCTCCAAGCAGTTGAATTAACAGCCTGCATCACGATGAACAGTGAGTGCTGTCCTCTTGATAAATCCCTGTTCCCGCCCTTGCACTGACTTCTCACCATCTTCCCCTGGCCAAGGCTCACACAGGCTCTCACACCAGAGCCAGGAAAGGAGAAAACAAGGGAAGGTCAACCTTTTCAGGGCCAATTCCAGGACTCTCCAACACTGAGCTTTCTGAACCCCAGGCCTGGCCTGCCACACAGGGACAGATATGAAGATCACTTTCTTCCAGCCACAGAACTTCCAACCTGACCAGAGTGGAACACTTATGTGGAGGAGGGGAGGCAGGAAGAAGGCTTGACTCAGAGGAGAAAGCAGGCAGGACTTCAGTTAGAAGGCAAGGGGGGCCCCATGGTAGAAGCAGGATTTGAGCCACAGAGGGCTACCCAGGTTTCCCCTGGCACCTATCAGCAGGGCTTGACTGGGGAGAGGAACTGATGTCACTCAGAGCACTTGGGGACCTCCCACAGGTACCAGCTGGTTTCCAGTAAAAGGAACAAGCAGCTATCAGCAGGTGCCAGCACCAGAAGAACTCTCTGAGCCCTAAAGCCAAGGTGCCTGACAAGGATAAGAAAGGGTGTTTGTGCAGAGCAGGGTCCAAAAGACAGTGAGGTAGAAATTCTGCAGGATTTTAAGTTTAGGGTACATGGTAGAAATCCTCGGTAGGCTCCTTACTCACTTACCCACCTATGGGTGCTGGAATCAGCTCAGCACTCAGAGGGACAGTGGACTGAAACACACTGAGTGCCCTTAGCCTCAAGCTGGGTTCCAGCAAAGAGCATCTGAGTGGGGTGGTAGATTTTACAACTTTTTTACAACCTCCTCTGGGAGCCTGCAGGGCCAGCTCCACCACATTTAGTCATACAAAACCTACTAGTGTTCACATTCCCATAGTGGAAGGCAAGAAGTAGGAAGTGATCAGGAAACCACAACAGCTGGAGAAGTACAGTGACGGCCACAGCCATTCACCACGTGGTGAAGAGCACAGGTGGCCTTCATCTACAATGGGTCACACCCTGAGAAACCCAGCCCACGGTAACAATGCTGTAAAACTGAACTCGTGATCAGGACCCTGGCCTGCTGAACTCCAGCACATATGCGCACAGCAAAAGGTCATTTCCCATGGCAATGTGAGGGGCTGGAGCCGGAGCTCCCTGGTTCTGCCCAGCTTCACAGTAGTGGCAGACAGGTGACAGTCTCTAGAAAGGCATTGTGAATCACTATTAGTTAAAAATCAGTGTCATTTCTTTTGCCAAGAAGATAACTAGGAAATATGCACAATGATCATGTCATTAAAAATAATCTTTCAATTGGCAGGGAATATAGCTTAGCAGGCTAAGTACCTGGTTGGCAAGTGCAAGGACCCAGATTCATTCCTCAGTACTGCATGCAGGGCTGGCCCCAGACTGCCTGGGCTCTCCATGTCATCCACCAATATTGGACTTGGTGATACACGCCTATAATTCCTGCTCTAGGGAGGCTGAGGGGGGGGGATCACTGAGTCCAAACTGTATAACAAAACCCTGTGCCAAATAAATAAAAGATTTTTTAATGTTCAAAAAATAATAATTCAAAAGCTATGGATTCAACAAGTTAGCAGAAAAAAATATCACATTTCCCAGGAGAGAAGGAAAGGGGAATGTGTTGAGTGGACCGAGCACCTCTTGGGGGAAGAAAGGAAAGGATGTGGGGATGCTTGCTGGAGACGGGACAGCAGTGTGAGTGTGCTGAGTGCCTGGGAATGGACACAGACGTGGCCAAATGAGTTTTTCACACATTCATTTACAGCAATGAGAAGTGAGGGGAAGAGCTAGGAGATGCCCCATGGGTAATGCTGTTGGCCACAGCCAGAGGCTGAGGGTGCCTCTCCCAGAGGAGGGAGGACCCCAATGCCTGGGTGGGTGTGGCCAACCAGAGCCTTTCTTCTCCAGGTCACCAGGGAGCTGCAGAGATCCTTGACAGGAAAACAGCTTTCTCACCTGGGGCTCAGGTAATCTAATGGTGTAACCCAGGCACTGCCTGAGGACCTCAGAGCTGACTCCTGGCCTCCATTTCCCTTAAGAGCCAGAAGCACTGTCAGGAAGAGATTTGGTGCCATCATTCCCTCAGAGGTGAACAAGGACCTGGCAGAGCAGCCACAGGCGACATCCAGCTCTGGGGACGCACAAGGAAGAGGAAGCTGCTGGTGCTGAGCATGCTGGGGATGGAGGCAGCTCTGGAGCGAAGGTCACGGGCCTTGGAGAGGGATTAAAGTGGCCATACCCAGCCCACACATGGTAGCAGTGGGCTCCACCAGTTAACTGACAAGCAGAGTCCTGCCCTGGCTGGGTCTCCCTTTAGACTCCATGCCCTGGTGACCCTTGCAGATTGAAGACATAGCCAGGCTGGCATGTGGGTCACAGGAACACAGAAGCCACCACAAAATACCCACTTTGAACCTTGACCTGGAGGTGCCAGTGGTGCAGTCTGTGATTAGCTGCCCTAGAACAGCATTTATGCTTCTGTAGTAAAAACATTCTTTTCAGTTTTTAGGGACAGGGCCGCTTGAGCTGCCCCTGTATAATTCCTTAATGGAAATATTTACATAAAATTCATTTTATGCTAATCATTGTGTGTGTGTGTGTGTGTGTGTGTGTGTGTGTGCGTTCTTTCTGTAGCAAGAGCTGCTTCATACAGTGAGTCAGTGTCTACCAGCACCTGGACAACGCACCCCACAGAGAACGGCCAGGCCCTGCATTCTTCTTTGAGCTAAGAGCACCTGGAGTATTGTGCTTGTCCAAAATATGGACAGAGTTAGACAACATGTTTAGCTCTCTACTCATGTATTTTGTGACGTTTGGACAATGGAGACTTTGCACCGGGAAAGGCAGATGAGGCCTCCTGTAGGTGAAGGGAACCCGGCATCCTGGCCTGCCTGAGAGATGGGGGCTCTGCTGGGTGGGAAGCTGGCTGGGAGGGCTCATAGAACCAAGGAAGGCACCTAGGAGGGGGAAGGAGCTGTCTGGCCAACAATGGCCTGGCTCCAGGTTCCCCAGCTCCCAGCTTCCTTCCCTGGCTTCAGCTCTCTTGCCTGTTCTGCTGGGGCAGCAGCTGCCCCAGTGGGGAGACACAGAAAGGGCTCAGGAGCCCAGGACAATTTTGACTCCAGACAAGGAGAAAGCAGATGGCATGCTGTGACCAAGACCCCCACTGCCTGGACCACAGCTGCTAACCTGTTCAGACACACACACACACACACACACACACACACACAGATATACACAGAAAAACCTCCATGATGAAGCTAAAATACAGAATATCATTTAGTAGGTCTGGGGTGGGGCCTGAGATGGTACATCCTAAGCAATTTCCTAGGTTGATGCTGCTGGAGGACCACACTGAGAGCCCAAATCTGGTTCCTGAGGGACCAAGTTCTCAAAGGAATTAGCAGGTGTACTTGGATCCCATGGATACTTGCATTGCTTTATTATACTCCCATGTGATTCGCAGATCGATGGTACTGAGGTACTTAGCCCTTGCACCCCCACTCCTATGAAGTGCCCACTGGCTCCCCTCCTCCTGAGGCACAGGTCTCCAGGCATCTTGACTGTCATGACTCCAATACTCTGTGCCCTAGTTTTGCAGGCAGCCTGAGTTAGATAGAAATATTGCAGGCAGTTAGACAGGCTCAGGCCCTCGAAGGAAATAACAGCCAGAAGCCTCACAACTGTGGGAGAGATTGATGCCCCTGCTGTAAATCAACCCTAAAGACTGGCATCCAGCATTGATCATTATTCGGGAAGAATTATTGTCTGAACGCCGACCCATAAGGTCCTATTTTACATTCATGCCCACTTACTACATGACCCAGTACCCCATTTGGTCTTGGGCCTAAGCAATTTTACGTGAGCAATGGTGCTTGTAATCTCATTGATTGACAATAGTTTTGTCCCATCCCACATCCACCTAAATGAGTTCTCCCTTTCTCCAACTAAATGAGTTCTCCTTTTCTCCAACTTAGCCCCACATAGTTTTACACTATAAAAGTGCCTGGAGGAGACAGCTTCCCAAGGAACTACCCACTCAGGCTCCCCTCCTGTCCCTCTCTTGGACAGGAGCTTTCTTTCCCTTAGTAAATATATTCTGTTTGTAACCTCTGTTTATTCCTAAAATTCTTCCTTTAATTTTAGAGAAAACGAACTCGTGCAGGTAGCGAGATCATTTTTCCCTATGTCATTTGGAGGTTCCCTATATCGTTTGGAGGTCACCCACTCAGAGATCGTTTTTCTCCCTTATCATTAGAGTTTTCTTTTCTCGGTAGATGTCTCCCAGGCTCACCCAGCTACCAATATTCCTGCATTAGAGCCCCAGCCAGCGGCATGTACCCCCCAGGTGCTTTCTCCAGCACACCTGTGGGCTTTGTGAGGGGGCCCCTATTAATCAGTATAGGTGACAGGACCCTCCTTCCCAAGTGAACTTGTGCTGTCCTATGTCTCTAGACAGTACTAACATAGTCATCCCACGAGAGTATGCCAACAACAGCTTGCTTGTTCTTTATTTTAAGAGTGATAGGAAAGAGAAGTGCCCAGTGCTGAGAAAGCTCTGCTCAGGGGGTGGAAGCCAGAAGGATCTCACTAGGCAGCCTCCCAACGGAGAGCAGTGTTGCAACAGGGTGCAAAGCCAGGAGAGAAGGTGAAGGCCACAGAAACGGGGCTGTGGAGGGCACCTGGGCCCTTCCTTGCGTAGCTGTGGCTCGGGGCTAGCATGGATTGCACAGAGGACAGGAAGGTGTTTGAGGGCCTTATGCGGTATGGGCCTGGGATGATGCGTGGAAGGCTCAGTCCTCCCTCACTGCCAGGAGGAATGACCTGGAGGCTCCCCTGGGTGGGAAATCCTCAGGGCACCACCTGCTAGGATGGCAGGGCTCAGAAGGTGGGGGGAGGAGGGCAGAGGACAGGGAGAAGACACAGACAGCCATGTCCCCAGCTCTTCACTGGGCTCTGGAGCCCAGCTAGCACTGCACATCTGTAAGCTCAATATCGCCGGTTACTTCCAGGTGATCGATGGCTGGCAGGTACTTCAGGCGGTGGGTGTATATCAGCAGGGGCTGGTCATCCACAGCCACCCTGTAGCAGCGGCCTTCACATATGATTTGCACCTGGACAGAGAAGCCTTGCATTCACACTCCATGCAGGAACTCCTTAGTTTCCTGAAGGCTCAGAGACTCTCCTTCCCCCTCTTTCCTCCTCCTCAAGTCACCCCCACTCCACTGAAGGACACACTCCTCCCTAAAAATCCTGGGCTCTCCTACCCTTGAACTCCGCACCTGCTGTTCCCAGCCCCTAGTGCTGCTCCCAGCCTGCATGTCTGCCCTCTGTGTCACTGTCAGGCACCTCAGGGACCCAATGCCTCTGCCAAGTCTTCCTTGCCCTCATCCAGGAGACCAACTGCCTCCTCAGGCCGTGGGGGCAGCAACACTCACTGGTGCTATATGTGTCCTCCATGTCCCTGCCTGTACTCTGCAGGAACAGGAGCAGCAGCCCCCTGACCAGTCCTCTCCAGCTCAGGACCTTCTCCAGGAGGCAGTCAGGGTCCAAAGGCGTTGGTCACACCTCAATCACAGACACGCAGGGCACTGTCCTAGTGTGTACAGGGACTACCTCGGCCCATTCCCACAACTCCCTGAGATCCCAGGATTCTTAACCCCATTTGGAGATGAGGAAATGGAGCCCAAAAACACTCAGTAACTGTCCCTGGCTGAAAGGCACATCCCCGAGGTTACATAGAGGCCTATCAATCGAAGGCAGTGTCCCTGCTGCTGTTCCTCGGTGGCTTCTTCCTGTAGTAAGATCCAAGCCCCCTTCCTAGCCCCAGAGCTCTCCAGCAGGCATTTCCCACCCAGAGTGCAGAGTGCAGGCCTCCAGGACACAGCTTCTGCCTAAGCGGATGCCCAGGGGACAGTCTCGCTGCTAGGGTAAGACCCAGACACCATGGCCCAATCTTCTTGTATAATTCTTCCCTCCTTCCCTCCCTCCTTCCGTCCTTCTTCCTTCTTTCTCTCCTTCCCTCCTTCCCTTCCTTCACTCCTTCCTTCTTTTCTTTGTCTTTCTTTTCTTCATTTTTTCTTACTACATTCCTTCTGTCTTCTTGCTTTCTCTTTGTCTTAATCTCTTTTTTTTTTTGACTAGCCTTCTCCTTCCTTTCTTCTTTCCAACTTTCCTTTCTTCCTTCTGTTTCCTTGCTGCATTCCTCCTTTCCTCTCACGTTCTCTTTATCTTTCTCTGTTCTCTTTTCTTGTCTATCCTCCTTTTTCTTTCCTTCCCTCCTTCTTTCCTTCTGTGTGGTACCATGGAATAAACCCAGGGCTTTAATGCTCAGCTATGTCCTTTTTTCTATTTTCAAATTTTTCTCCGTGAGACAGTCACCCTAAGTCACTTAAATGCTTGGGCTGACCTGAAATTTGGGACTCTCCTGCTTTGACCTGCTACAGTGCTACTGTTATAGCCCCAGGTACCACAGCACCTGGCTGTTCCTAGTTTTGTTTTCCTAAGCTCTGCATGTGACCTGAATGTGTAGGCGGGGTGGTAAGGCCTGGGGCCACTGCGCACACCTCTCACCCTCCCTCTCCACCTTGCAGTGCAGCCCTGCACAGGCCCCTCCCTCCCCTGCACATTGGCCCCCACAGTGAGGGTCCCTCCAACCCAGAGCCTCTGTCCTGATGTGTGCTGACTGGCTCTTGCCTTGCTCTCCTGGATCCTCCCCAAGCAGATGACAGCCCTGTGGCTAGGACCTGTTGTTCCTGCTTCCTGGCTGCATCTCTGAACATGGGTATTTCCTGCATGAAGGGCACCCACTCAGATAGCTGATAAGTGACTGCTGAGTGACTGAAAATCCATGAAAAGTGCTTCATTCTTGATTTCCATGTCCCAAAAATAGGATGTGACAAGGACTTGCCTTGTGATTTTGTTTGCTTACCTGTTTAGAGAAGATAGCAATTCTTCCTTGCGGGACAATAATCACAGCATGATAATAATGTGCTACCCACCTCTCTTCCCTCTGGTACAACCCTGAAATCACAAGCATCAATCCCTAGACTTTTCAAGGTGCCCTCATACTCTCTCACCCGTTCTCCACCTGCACCCAGCAAGCCCTCAAGCTCTGGGGTGCAGCATCTTACCGTGAAGCTCTGTCCTGGGACAAAGGGCATGTCCCCAGACAGCCTTCGCTCCTCTGGCCCCCAGGAGCCCTTGATCAGAGAGTTTCGGACCACACATCTTTCACTGAATCGAGGGCTGAAGTGAAAGGCGATGTCAGTCCCAGCACGCAGGTTGATTTCAAAACTGGGGAGGAAAGAAACATGAACTCTCTGTATCTCTCAGATGTGGCTCCAACTCCCTTCCCATTTTTTCCAGAAGCCAGAGAGCCCTGGAGGCATTTTCTTACCTCTCAGCATTGGGGAGCACAGTGCCTGACACAGTGATCACCTTGGATGGATTCATCCCACCTGGCATTGAAGTGGAGAAAGGAATCGGCTGTTCGGAGGAAAGGAACAGGTCAGGCTGTAACAACAGAAAGCAGCAGGGCACCTGGGAAGAAATTGGCCTGGGCCAATTGCTATGGACTTGGACATAATATGATTTCTAGAGAAAACCAGTAATATGATTTCTAGAGAAAACCAGTACAACATTACTTGGTTCCTTAGCTACCAAGTGAAAACGTCCTTGTGCTCCCCAAAGCAGAGAGCCTTCACTGTCATGGAAGAAACTCTGTACAGGCACTAAAGCATTCTGGGTGACAAGGGAAGGCCATACATTTAGCTCACACTGAAGGGGCCATAATAAATTGAAAGTTCCTTTCAAAATTATTCTAATTTTCATGAATATTTTTACAATTTCAACTTCATAATGGATCCTTTTTAATTATGAAAGTCAGGGCCAGCCAGATAGCTTAGCAGACTAAAGTGCCTGCTTAGGCAGAGCACAGGGGCCAGGGCTCCATCCTGTGCTGGCCACGCCCCTTTGGGGTGCTGAGATTGAGATTGAGATTGGGCGTGGTAATGTGCACTTGTAATCCCTTTGCTTGGGTGGCTGAAAACAGGTGAGTCACTATGAGTCCAATCTACCTAGTGAGACCCTATAGACACTGCAGACCCTATAGATCCTGTCCTAAAAATAAAAACTAAAAAGTTATGAAAGTCAGAGGATCATCGCCAGCTGACACTCACTGACCAACCCGCCATTCCACATGAACCCTCCAACTGCCACACATGCACCACTTACGTAAGGTAGAGGTGTTGCTTCAGGAGCCTGTGAAAAAGATATCAAAAAATTTAATGTGGGACTGTTATACCTCCCACTCACACACACAAACACACTCATTGTGGAATGGGTGCTCCTACATGAATGAGGTCAACAGGGTTTATCACTGGGTTTCTCCTGGTAACCTTGGTTGTCATAGCAATCTTTCTAGATCTTCCTGACCTATCCCTGGATGCCATAACTTATCTTTCTTCTTTTCTGTGTGAAAAGGAAGGCACTGAAGCCAGAATGACCCACTTGATCCTCAGCCCCCAAAAGATGGAGACATCCACACTCTGATCTGATCCCTGAAACCCATAAATGTGACCCTCACTACAAGAGGTGATTAAGTGATGAATCTGAGGCTGGAGAGATGGGCCTGAGGTGGCCACCCTGAGGCACAGTGAGTCCCTTGTAATCACAAAGGTCTTTCTGCGGGAGAGGAGGGACACTCAGCATGAAATTGGACAACAGAAGCAAGCACATGGTGGCTTTTCCTCTTCCATTTGTACTTTCTGTGGTGTTCAATATGCAAAACCCAATAATCACTTTACTCTGAGCTACAACCCCAAACCAAGAAGACAGTGGCTTTGGTGACAGAGACAGGGATCTGGGACACTGCATGCAGGCCCCTTAAGTAGCTGTGAAGGAAACTGTGAAGACTCTTCCCAAAGCCTCAGGATGCAAGTGAACTTAGGGTGTCTGTTATTTCTCTTCTTGACAGGGTGGGGGAGGTCAACTGGGCATCATCTTGAGAATCTTTCAGGCACTTGTTCTATCACCAAGCAAAGACCAAAGCCTTTCAACAGGTTGAATTATGCAAGTAATAGGACAGCACCAGCTTCCAACTACCACACACCCATCATTCCAATGAAATCTCCTGCCAACTCCCACACATCACTCACAGCGGTTTCGGGTTCAGGTTCAGGTTCAGGTTCAGGTTCAGGTTCAGGTTCAGGCTCAGGCTCAGGCTCAGGTTCAGGTTCACGTTCCTGTGAAAAAGAGACACCACAAAATTTAATGTGGGTGTATGAGAGGCACACACACACATGCACATACACATGTACACACACGTATACACACTCTTTCTGTAGGGGGTGCCTATGTGTGAATGATGTTTGGAGAGCTCAGCCCAAAGTTTCACCAGGTAGCCGTGGTTGTCATAGTAAGTTTTCTCCATCTTCCTGCTCTGTCCCTGGATGCCATCACCTGAATTTCACCAACTCCATGCTGTAAGTCACTGAAGCCAGAATCACACCCTTGACTCAAGGGCCACAAGTTCTGAAATACCAATGCTCTGAGCCAATCTCTGGAACTTGTGAATGTGACCATAATAGCAAATGGGTCTGCAGGTGGATGAAGAGAAAGATCTGAGGCTGGTGAGATGGATCCCAGGTCACCTCACTGAGGTCCAGTTGGGTCCCATGTAATCACAACAGCCCTTGTAAGAGAGAGGTGGGACAGTCAGTTTCTGAGGGTGACTAGTACAAAGTAGGACTAAAATAACTGATTAGTTTGCCATGGTTGCATGTAAGACTTTCCAAGACCTAGGCTTCTCTTCTGAAAATGCTTAGTGGACTCCGAGTAAGTAAACCTCTATGCTGAGCCCTGTAATGGCAGGTGAAGTCAGCAGCACCAAATGATAAGACATGGTCGCAGCCAGGGACACCTGGATCCACCCTCAACTACATGAAGACAATAGCACACCTCTCACTCCTGCATGGATTAACTTAATGCCTTGCTTTGAGAAGTCCCTGAATGGCTCTGCCATTCTTGAGTATTCCCCTCACTTCTTCTGATACCTAAATAAACAAGGGAGGCCCACAGAATCTCTTCTCTTAACTCTGAGAGAATCTTGCATTCTTTGAGGGAAATTTCATCCTCCTGGAGCCCTGAAATCATTCCATTTGCCTCTTTTGATTTAGTCTTTTCCATACACTGTTCTGGGGATGGGGGACCTGATTAGTCCGCAATAACTATGGGCTACTGTGAATGGGATTACTGGCACCTGAAGAGGGACATTTAACCTTTGCACTTTTCTTTTTAGCCTGACTTGAATAAGTCTCCCTAGAGTTAAAACTACATGAGATGGACAAGGACTTCTCAGGAATAAAGCTTCCCCAGAGATGCTGGAGAAAAAGGAAGACAAGCATTCCACAAGGAGCATGGGTGATTCTTACTGCTGTGTGCAACCATTTTTATCTGAGAGTAAAAAGCGCCCAAAACTTTTAACTGTGGAGCAGAGAAATAGAGATGCTACAGGTTTTGCTTAAACACTTAGGGGCTCATCTGCCAAAAAAGACCTTACAAAAATGTCATAAGTTGTAACCAAATATGTAAAGAGTTGAAAAATATCTTTAAAGGGCCCAGAGTACAGGAAGAATCATTTTCCCTTGGCATTTTCAACTCTGAGCCTGGTTCTTTCAGGGTTGAGTCCATTGCAGAGCTCTTAGTCAAAACCTCCTAATGTAGGCCTCCCATGTGCCTCCCTCTCCCACTGGTCTCTGTGCCTGCATTCGTGCTGCTAGCTGAAATTCAAAATATGGCATTGATCTTACCTAAATAAAGAAAAATTTTGTAAAAGAAAAAAATCAAAGTCAAACCGAAAGAAACCAAAACAAGCCCAAACCCTCTGACTCAGACACAGTGGAAACCAAAGGCCGCCCAGGACCTTGGGCAGAAACAGGAGCCTTGCACAGGAGCATCCCAGGCAGCTCTGGCCAGAAACCAACAGCTTTCAAAGGAGAAACCAGCAGCTATAAAAGGAGAAATCCCTGGCACTCCTACTCGCTTCCCAGTTGGAACTCAGCAAAATAATTGTAATGAGGAGCTCATATCTCATAGGCCTTTTGAAATTCAGAAACTCAAAAATCTTAAAACAAATGTTTGTTATTAATGGAATGCAGAGCTCATTACAGCAGGAGCTCTACAGAATGCTCTGATTATGTGTCACTTGACACCAATGATATCACACATGTGGCACAGACATGCCTGTCTCCAGCTCAATCTTTGATGTACAGTTTAAAGGTCTTGTTTTGCAGCAGGCTCATAGAAACAGAACATCCCTCACTGAAGTAGCTGGTTGTTTCAGCTGTAGAAATAAAAGAGGAGATGTTTTCTGGGATAGGACAATATGTGCTCCTTTGGGATTCATGCTGAGGTCAACCCCAAGGTCCTCATGAGCTATATTCACAATTGGCAGATTTACTAACATGGGCATAGGCAATTGTTCCAGAGCAGGGGAAACCCCTGCAGTCATTATTACACACCTTTCAATGCCATAAGGATCCCTTTACTCAATTCAACATCTATAAGATGATGCAAAGGTGAAGAACATGATATTAATAGGCATCAATGAGAAAGAAGAAGTCAATATAAATGATATATAAAGAATATGGGCAGAAATAATAGCAGAAAACTTCCCAAATATAGGGGAAAAATCTGACATTCAGGTCACTGAAGGATATAGAACTCCAAATAACATCAACCCAATTAAAAACACACTGAGACATATAATACTCAAGATCTCAGAAATCCAGCCCTAGAACAATATACTAAAAGATGATAGAGAAAAGAAAGAGATCACATTTAAAGGAAAACCCATCAGGATAATGGCAGACTTCTCTTCACAAATCATGAAGTCAAGAAGAGCATGAAGCAGAGCACTTCAAGTCTGCTATGAAAATAAATTCCAACCCAGACTACTATACCCTTCAAAACTCTCTTCTCAAGTTGGATGGAGAAATGAAATACTTCCATGACAAAGAATAACTAAAGAATTTCATAATGACAAAGCCAACCATACACAGACTACTAAAAGATGATCTAGAGAGGGACCAAAATGATCAGAACTCTATGAATGAGAATACAAAGAAACCAGCAAATAGGGCAAACAATTAAAGACAGGAGAAAAAAGGAGTAAACCACAGCTGGTAACATGTCAATCATCAGTCAATACATCTCAATTATAATCATCAATGTAAATAGACTCAATTCACCAATTCAAAGAAATAGACTGGCACAGTAGATTAAGAAGCAAAATCTAACAATATGCTGTATAAAGAAACACACTTAATCATAAAGAAATTCATAGGCTGAAAGCCAAGGATGGAAAATAATACTACATGCCTCAGCACCTCAGAAAAAAAATAGGTGTAGCAATCTTGTTCTCAGACAGTCTCAACATCAAACCAAGAATGATCAAGCTAAATAAAGGTCACTATATTCTGGTTAGGAAAAAAAATACAAGAGGAAGAGGTAACACTCATAAATATGTATGCAGCAAACACAGGAGCACCCAACTACGTAAGACAAATCTTAATGGAAATGGAAAATCTAATGTCCACTACCACAGTCTTAACAGGAGACCTTAACACCCTCTTATCCCAAAAAAATAGGTCAACCAGACAAAAAATTAGAAAGAAGTAGCAGAACTGAACCAGAACTTAGAACAAATGGACTCAGTGGACATATGCAGAGTGTTTCGCCCAATCAAAGCTCAATACACATTTTTTTTTCAGCTGCACATGGGTCATTTTCTAAAATAGATCACATACTAGTCCATAGGTCATGCTTAAGTATATGCAAGAAAACAGAAATTATCCCATTCATATTATCAGACCACAGTGCAATGAAACTGGAAATAAATGACAAAAGAAACAAAAACAAACCCATAAATACATGGAAATTAAACAACACCCTCCCCAGCAATGAATGGGTCACAGATGAAATTAAACCAGAAATTGAACAATATCTACACTTCAATGAAAATCCAAGCACAATATATCAAAATTTATGGGATGTGATGAAAGGAGTTCTGAGAGGCAAATTTATAGCTGTCACACATTAGGAAAACAGAACGGGAACAAATAAACACCCTAATGCTGCCCTTCAAACATCTAGAAAAGTAAGAGCAAAACAACACAAAGCCCAAAGTCAGGAAGAAATCACAAAGATCAGAGCAGAAATTAATTCAATTGAGACAAAGAAAGCAATTCAAAGAATTAATGAATCAAAAGGCTGGCTCTTTGAAACATTAAATAAAACTGATAAGCCCCTAGCTATCCTCATCAAGAAGAGATAGAAAAAACTCAAATACAAGCAATAAGGAATGAAAAAGGTGACATTAGCACTGACCCAGTGGAAATCCAGAAGATCATCAATATCTACTTTGAGAATCTTTACCCTCACAGAATAGCAGACACAGAAGAAAATGAAAGATTCTTAGAAAGGTACAAATTACCAAAATTGAATCAAGAAGATATAAGAACGCTCAATAACCCAGTAGCAGTCAATTAAATATGAAATGCAATCAAAATTCCACTGACAAAGAAAAGTCCAGGTCTTCATGTATTCACAGCCAAATTCTATAAGAAATTTACATAAGATATAATCCCTATACTCCTCAAAATCTTCAGTGAAACTGAAAGGGAAGCAATCCTCCCAAAATCATTCCTGGAGGCAAGTATTATACTGATACCAAACCCAGAGAAAGATGCAAATGAAAAAGAGAACTACAGGACAATTTCCCTCATGAACATAGATGTAAAAATCCTCAATAAAATCCTAGCAAATGGAATACAGCAAACCATCAAGAAGATTATACACCATGACCAGGGAGGATTCATCCCAGGGATGCAAGGATGGTTCAATATAAAGCTGAAGACATTCTAATTCTAAAGTAGGCATACACAAATGCTGATTGAGACTGCAAGCAAGTAAACTCAACCAACAATCTGACAATGTATATTCTGCTTGTCGGGATATTGCGACCGAATCATATATGACAAGCATGAAGGGCCAGGCTGAGGCTGGTTTTAATAATGCAGGAGGAGGCAACATAAAATGTGTTAATTGTGGAAAAATCAGACATAGTAGAAAAAATTGTACATTTCTTGCTGAATCTAATGGGACATGTGCTGCAGCTCCAGCATGTCAAGGGAACAATGACTCGGGCATGGAGATATCTGGTCCCACTCAACAACTGTGTCTGAAAGCCCTACAAGGGACACATTTGGCTATACATTGTCAATGTAAAACCCATAAGGATGGTACACCTTTGCTAAAATGTAGAGACAAGGGCCATTCCTTGGACTGGCCGAACAAGAGAGAAAACATAGCTTTTGAGTCAGACTATAGGTTAGTTTAATCCAAAGCAAACACACCAGCAGATCCAACAAT